AATGTAAGCAGAAGACAAATAATAATATGTATCAGAAAAATCACTAACAATTTTCTTCACAAAAACAAAAAGAAATAAAAAACGAACAGTTCCTATTTCGTTATGTAAATATCAGATGGGTTTTAATTCATACAGACCTGCTAATTAAAGCATTTGATTAATATTCTTAATTAAGAATCCAACTACGTTTTCTGCTATTCCAATAGGACCTGAAGGAGATGCGACGGGTTGGCCGTCCAACTATGACATTTAGAAGATCATGTGAACAGGAAATGAGAACTTGTTGGTAGTAGAGTAGCCAGCTGAAAGTGATGGCAAAGAACTGAATGTGGTGACAATCTTCCACTGAAGCCTTATGTTTTACTCTGAACCCAAGGAAGGAATGAACAATAATAATGATAACGGAGTTAATGTTTGTACAAATCTCTGTTTCAGCTTTTGAAATACACATAGTCTCATCAATCACTTGATGAAAATCAATTTTAGTTGTGGAAACAGACGAAATAATTGCAACAGAAAGCACGTTGTTTCTGAACTAGATGGATTATGTGATATATGGATAAATAATGTGTAACACAGTAGGCATAATTAAACTCAGGTTTTATCTACATACTGATAAAAATCATAGAGCCTGAAATGAGCGTTTAAATGGTAGCTTCCACAATCTCAGTTGATATTCTCTCAGCCTAATGAAATTAAATCAAATATCCCCACTGTGTAATCAGAACAAGATGATTTTTAAGCGAACTATTTTTAACAACTTCTTCTTCAAGCTCTACAGTTATAAATCTATTAATGTTAAAATAGAGATAGCCAGTATAGGCAAATGAAAATCATATCAGAAACTATATTGGGGCATGTACATATAAGATGGAGTGATAATCCGTGAAATTAAAACAAGTAACAAGGAAACAGTAAAGTTGCATTTGAATTCAACACATTTTTGAAACTGGTTGGAGGATTTCATCGTGAGCTGACATCAGTTAGAGAACCATTGAAAAACAAGCTGGGAGTACTGGACAACTGTTTCGTCAGCCTAGTTTGCGACTCTTCATCAGTACGCACCCACCGGGGTTCAAACCCAGGACCTTGTGGTTACAAGGCCGAAAACATTAAGAGTATTTATCATAAAGCACATTGATATGATAGTTACTAACAGTATTTCAGAAATAGTCAGTTGGATAGATGACATCCAATAAGTCCTGTGATGAAAAAGGCATCTGAATCTAGGAATGTACACTATTTTGTGAAGTCATATCCTTACGAATCCAAGTCATCATCTATTTCACCAATTCTAAGTGAAACTAAAATTCGTCTGAGCTTGTAAATAAATAAAATGTATATGACGTATCTTATTGCTTCATAGTCCTTACATAAGAAAGGACATTACCAACCTTGAAGACCATATCAACCATGAAAGAAGCCTGTATACATATGTATATATATATATATATATCAAGTATTTAATATTTTATGAATTCACATGACTTAGATTAGGAACGATGAAACCCACTATTACTGTAAATATTTAACTAAAATGAAAGTGATTGGGTTTGAGAGTGTTTAACAGTGAGCACTTTTAAGTGTACGTAATTTTGTTAAGCTTCAATCTTTGAAGCCCCAGTGGCAGTGGTTGTATGTTCTAATAGGACGGAGTAACAAGTTCCATACCCAACTTTCCATCTTTTGCGGGCTCACTACTGGCTATACGAGGTTGAGGAGCTGAGCCCGAAGCACGTGCATATTGTCAAGTATACCATTACTGTGAACCATAGACGCATTTGAGACTTTAGTACGTATATTTCTTTGTTACAGTAGAAGTTTTGTTTAATATTTTACCTAAGAATATGAAAAACAAATTTCTACTTTGTGTGAGTATGAAATATATATATATAAACCTGAACGAAGCGAATTTCAGTCGATATAAGTATAAAACTTGGGCACTGTGGTAGAGTATAACTCCATAGTGGATAAGATTTTATTTTGATAAATCACACAGTGTTGTACAGTAATATTTACTGATGACGTTTCGAGCACAAACTATTGCTCATAATCATATCAAGTTACTCACACAACTTCTTTCCTTCATTTATATACATATGTGGAATCGATTAGATATTGGAATAAAATTCGATATGAGATAATGTACATTCAGAAATAATAGTACGAGTGTTATTAATCCATTACAATTAGATGGGAAATACGACGAGTGTTTTTATAATCATAATAAGTTATTTGTTAGAATGTTCTGATGTGTTTGAATTGAAATAGAATTTTAAGATTATTTATTATCCTCTTCTGATTTGACCGGCGGTAATAATATCTTCCATATTTCTGGTATTTGCATTGAGTCACTTCTGTTGCATGTGTTGGGTGCAGACTCGATGAATAAGGATTCCGTAATCAACCTCTCTCTCCACCTACCTATATTACTTTTTAGAATTTTAACCCTCTCCCACCCTATTGTGTGGTTGTGTGTTAATGCATGCAGTGCAATTGCTGAGCTTTTTTCTAAATTGCTTGTCTTTTCAGGATCAACCATTCTTCCCTTAGCTGAATTCTTATGTTCTGATAATCTAACTATCCCTGACCTACTAGTGTGACCTATGTAGTTGACTTAACTCACAGTCTTTGCAGGGTATTTTGTAAATTATATCATTTGGTTTAATTGGGTCCACCGGGTCTTTCAACCTACAAAGCTTGTCTTTGAGTGAGTTTGTAGGTTTGAATGCCACCCTAATTCCTGTTTTATTGAGAATCCTACGTAGGGCCTCAGATGTCCCCTCTTTATATGGTATAAAAGTAGAAGACTTATATTCTCTCTTATTTATGTTATTACTACTAGTTACACAATTATATTTTGTTTTGGCCTTTAATGATCTTCTTAATGAATTTTATAGGATAGTTATTCAACACCGACGCTTCTCCTATTTGTTCAGTCGGGAATTCGTCTCATTAAAGCTGATGCTGATAAACCTTCCCTTGTGTTCTTGAAGACTGGAGCTTTGCAGACTTTTTGCAAACATGTGGACAGAAGTGGATCAACACAAAGTAGTGGACAAGTAACTAGACTACGAAAGAATATAGCTAAAATAGACCCTGAAAACTCTGCTCCTAACTTATTCCCATAAAATGCCTGAAGATAAATGCCTGTGTTTTCTGTGGACATTATTTCAATTGCATTCCAGACGTTACACGATAATACTGTGAATGGAAGTGTGTATTATACTAAAGTGTGGGGATGATGAGCATTCATAGAATAGGACTTTATTATATCATAGCTAATATTCCCTGTCTTAAAAACTACTAGAATTTGTTATTGTACTCAAACTATAATTAAGTTATTTCCAACAAAGTTAAAATTATAGACTAATAAGGCCACGCTACTTCCTGAAACTTTTACTCACATCGTGTTTTCAGATGAGTTGCGTTTTGAGTAAGATAATAAATAAAAACGCTTCAGTGAAGCTGTTTGGAAGCTGGATTCGAATAAATATATGTGTAAAACCTGGACACTGTGGTTGTTTGTATTTCCATGTTTATTTATTTATTGAATATTTCACTTGCAGGGAAACAGCATTAATTACTGGGCGACATTTCAAATACCATTTATTGTTCATAATTATATCACCTATAACTACACAAAGTTGAAACTTGAGTTATATGATTTTCATTCTTTTTTCCTATTCGTTGTAGGAGTGGTAGAGTTTTCCAGATGTCCGCATAGGTGTTGCCTCATTCCCATTGCACTTATTTACAGTCAATTCGATAAATAAAGCTCCCATTATCTACCTCTTCACCCTGTTATGTTAGATTTTAAGACTGTTATCTTATACCATCCCACTGTGTGGTTGTTTATAGTTGCATATGATGCTGTAGCTGAGATATTTTCTAAATTTTTTAACTTTTCAGGGTCAACTAATCCAGATACTGCTAGGTTTTTGTCCTCCACACCACAGGATCCTTTAACGGACACAATTTGTTTCTAAGTCAGTCTGTAGGTTCGAATGCCACTTTGAGTCCTACTATGTTAGGAATTCTATGTAATTTTTCAGAGGTTCATTCCTTGTATGGAAGCCCTACCGGTGATTTAAATTCCCTGTTGTTCGTATTGTCATCCTTCTGTATATTTTTGTCATATATATCAAAAAATTCTACTTATATCTTATGTTTCAGATACTGTGAATGTGTGATCTACACACCTGTACCATACTTCGGGGGTTGGTTTGAACGTTTTAATCACTACGTTTTCCTTCCTATCCATAAAGACATCTGCCAGTATCGGGGATATTGCTGACCCCATGGCGACTCTCAGTTTGTTTGCATATTTTTCCTTAGAATTTAAATACTTCAGAAGTCAGACATAGCTGCACTCTTAGTGTGATGTCTTCTGGTAGCACTTCGTTCTAAGTCCAATTTATTGGTCAGAAATTAGTTAGTCTCTGACTGCTTTTATAACCATATTGGTCGATATTGGTATTGTCACACCTATGACGAATGGAGAAGAATGAAGAGAACTATAAAACTCAGGTTTTGATGTTGTGTAGTTATAACTGATATGATTATGAGCAACAAATTTTGTCTGAAACGTCATCTAGTAAACTCTACTATTTTACTACGCGACGAATTAGAATAACCCTAATTTCTAACGAATCCTCATTTTGTGACTTTTTAATTCAATGTACTTTGTACTCTGATTTCAGACTGATTTATTCCACCCTGAGTGACTACTTTCCAGAACAAACTATTCTCATTATTTTCCCGTATTTATCAAATCATGATTCAGTATATTTGAACACAGGCAATAAAAATGAATCATTCGCGAATATCATTGGTCGATTTTCCAGCCTATCACAACTTTATATCCTGGGAACCAATCACATTATGACTGCATCACTATAATCGGTGTCATAAGTTTAAATCTACATAATTTACATTGTGTATTAATTCTTCACCAATTTTGGAATAATAACGGGAATATAAACCTTACTGAACTATAGCATATTAGTAATCTTAATAATCAATTAAGTACTCAAAGAAATATACATTTACATATATACTACACTTATGGATGGATATATTTTGTTCTATCATGTACCAAATCTTTATCTAAACAAGAAACCATATTAAGACAAAACAGAAATTTTCAATCACATATATTTATCTCGGTAAGCCTAACTGAATCCTTAAATTATCACTTTTACTCTTTGTATCGAATGATTGATGTTTGTATTTATTATATGAATCCAATGGTATAAATTCCCTAATTTTAAACCCAGTTAGTTCGTTTACGATTAGAAATAGCACAATGGTAACGTCTCTGATTGCAGCACTGAGTGACACGGGTTCAAATCTCTTAGACAGCATTACTTCTTTTCAGATTGCACATAAGTTTGTGCGTTGAAGTTTCAGTGGTAGAATGTTCACCGATAACGCACAGGATCTGAGGTTCGACTCCCGACCGATACAATCTTGAATCCCACTAAGTCAGTAGAGAACCCTGGAAAGAGGGAAGGTTGCGTGACAATAGCCACCCCACCTAGTGAAAAACAGCCATCACTGCTGAGACTTCAAAATTAAAAGCTTGAAGTCTTATGTTCTACTTGGGAAACAAAGGAATGGAGAAAAAATTCGTCTAGACTGGTAAAATCTTCCTAAATCTACTTGACAAAATGAAAAGAAGGCCTTACTCAACTAACCTATCCTCCACTTAGCAAGTGTTTAAACACCACGCCACACTTCATCATAAGTGGCATAAACAACTGTATTATCTGAGAAACTTTTCATTTATCGATTGGCTTAAAATTAATTTCCATTACTTCCCTGTGACATTTTTGTGTGTTTTCAGTCAACAGTGACATGACACTACTCAGATTAATATTCCCCTTGTATTGAAAATAACTTGTATTCCTCTCTTCTTAAATAAAAGTGTATGGATGGAAGCAGTTCATAGCAAAATGAAAAAAGAAACGACCTTTCTTCGGTTGAAATCACTGATATCACCATTTTTTCACATTTTTAATAATGATTTAACAAAATAGGCTGAGATTGTTTTATACATTGCTCTAGAACATTTACTGACACTCAGAATTAACAATTTGTTTTTTAAGACTAACCCTAACACCTACTAGTTCTATCGTTCACTTGACATTTTGTATCGTATAACATTCTTAAAAAACAAGACCATATGGTCTGTCTACGACCTCCATTAGCCTACCAGTATAGCCTTTTACTGCTTTTTAAACTTTCGTTAGAGTATCTGTTTTCTCTGGAAAGATTGTGATAACTGTCAAGAATTTATGTGTTAAACTATAGCCAGTCATCAAAAATTCAAAAGTAAATATGATTACAGTAGTAAAAATAAAACAAATGAACTAAATCATCGTAAAATGTAATGATAATGTATTCAGTTCGTTGGTGTCGCTGTTAGGGGAAATAAATAACTAGGAGCGGCGACAAACCTATTTGTCATAACGCACTGATGAATGGTTGGTTTTACTACATACTCAATCTGAGTAGGTGTACAGTTTGAAAATTGCTGTCATTAAATATGAGTGGGGAGAAAAGCAGTCTGAAGCTTGATTACGAACTAACTTCAGTTGGAGAATTATTGTAAACCAAAAAGTAATGCACCCTTGTTTCACCCTAGTTTGGGATTCTTCAGAAGTAGGCAACCATGAACCACACCAGCGGGGATCGAACCCAGGACCTTGGGATTAAAATATGAGTACGTTAACCATTCAGTCAATGAGACAGAAACCAGTGGTCCATGAATTCTAACTTCTATCAACTTGTGATTTCAGCGCAACCACCCGTCAATGTCATTGATGAGTATCTGTGTTGATTTCAAACTTGATAGATCTCCCTGGTCATGACTTCAGACAACTTCAGTCACTAGTGAGCACTAAATTAGTGTTGATTTGCAGGGAGCTGACTGACTTCAAGTATATCAAACGCTACAGTAGCTACCCCATCTGTGTAGAAAATCGATCAAACAGCATTTTATCTGACTCCAGAATTTCTTTAAACACGTAATACAACAATCACATGAGACCAACTACCTGACGAAATTATAAATGACTCCTTCTGCTCTGTCATAATCAGCAGGTGGAAATGAAATATTGTCCTCCTAATTCCTATTAAAATATCTACCATTTGTGGTCTGTCTAGTATAGGTTAAGCTAAAAGAGAGTAATCATAACCTGATTTTGCATTTTAAAAAACCGGATTTGTAAAACATTGTATTATTATATATATTATTATTATTATTATGTCCATTAACCTAATTACCTAACAAACTGGTTTATTATTACTGACGCCATATTATTTCCTCTGTAACATGCTTCCACATTGATTAACGCCAATTGTAAGGTCATTTATAATGTTGTTGCTGTTGTTGTTGTTGTTAAGCTATCCTACATATGAATAAAAGTTAACAGTCAATTAAAAATATTTCTTAAACTGTAACTTGTCTTTCTTACTTACTATTGTTGACATGTTATTGTATGCTGACTGCTTTTGTTTAGAGAATCATAGTGACGTAGAATTAGATAGTTTACGTATACTACAGAAATAGGAAGTTGCCGTATTCACAAAGAAAGAAAGAAACCATATATACACATATTAGACACATAGATTTTAGGAAATTTCCTATGACCTTAAAAAAAATCTAGTATCCCACAATTTCCTTACATATAAGGGATAGCACTTGTCTTTAATTTTTAAGATGTATTTTAAGAGAATTACTTAAGTAATATAATCAGCAATTCAAACAGCTTACTAATTAGTTAGCCTACTTACTTTAGTCCTACCCGCATGTTGTTTAACCTTGACGATGATAGTTGTCTAACTGGGAACAGAAACATTTTCTTGACTATTTTATAAGTAGAGTGGTAGTATTAGTATTAAGAATAGTAGTTATTATTATTATTATTATCCCATGATGAAGAATGCCACAAAATTACGTGCATAACAAAAATCAAGTTTCACACAGGATTATGGTGTGAAGTGACTTAAAGTTATTTCATTATTTACGTCATTACGGTGCGTTTGGTTTTATGTTTAGTCTACATATATTTACAGAAGGAAGTTAGTAGGATTTTCTGTAGGTTATATCTGGGTTGTTTAGTGTGTGTGTGTAATTAAACAGGGATTGATAGAACACATGTTTTCCAAGCTAACATTAACAATGAACCTACAGACTGATAAGTACAGTACTCATGAATAACTCATGCGATCTGAGTGATCACATTTCTAGAAATCTTTAGAGTAAAAGTCATGAGCTTCATTTACTCATATGAGTTGTGTACACACTGCATATAAGCTTCATTTCACCTTGTTCAGACTGCATAAATCAAGTAGTTGTTAGGAGTAGTCAAAAGGAAGCCTCTGACCTAGATTTTGTGTATATCGTCACTTATTAGCATCGCCGCTTAAACAAACTATTCCAGCACAATGACAATGACTGCTGCACTGAGTGGTGAGGGTCATCAACTCCTTCAAGATTCCAGACAAATCCTGCTGGTGATTCCCAACAAGTAGGAAATTTAGGTCAAAAGTTGTCTGGTGATCCTCCTGCCAACCGTATAAAATCTGCTCTTAAAGCACCATGATGCCAAGCTAACCAGTTTTGCAATCATACTATAAACCTGTCGTTAGTACTGAAAATATGGTGTGGCATCAAGCTGTAATCAAAATAAAATAATAAAACTTAGTCATCAGCAAGGACTAGAAATGTTACACTGACTACTGCATAGTGGCCAATTAATTTATTTTTTTTATGTATTAAACCAAGGAGAAATTTTCGACTCAGTGTACAAACTTTTAGTTGGAATACTACTCCAGTTACTGTGTTACTTTGTTCGAGGTGATATCTTCATTCAAGTTTACAACTTATATGAGTTGTTTGACACAGAAATGACAAAATATGCAGAACATATATACATAGATGCATATATAATTGCACTTAAAGAATAATTACATATAGTACAGTATCAGCTACAATGATGCTACTATTCCTTATTGAGAGAATACAAATTTCACTGCGTAGACGGGAAATTTAAACCATCCTTTAAATGTCAAGGTGTGAATAATCAGTTTGTAGCCTTAGTTCATGTACATCTGATCACTAACTGATCAAATTCACTAGTTGAATCAAAAGCAGCTCCCCACAAGACATAGAACTAATTCATCTGTTAAGTGGCAGCCCCATAGGATTTTCAAGTGCGCACCATTTAGAAAGTCTCAAAAGTACATTTAATATACTTTCCAACATAAGCGAACTTTAATAATTGTTCAATTGTAAAGCACGGAGAAAACAGATAAGTAATATTTTTACGAGTTGATCACGGATTGATATCAGTTAGAGAACCATTGAAAACCAGGGAGTATTGGACAGCTGTTTCATCCTAGTTTGGGAATCATCAGCAGCACGCTACAGGATGGAGTTTCCTGGAGTTCTAGTAAGAAGTTGTGACCAGTGAGATCCATCCAGTCGAGAGTGAGGTTGAATTTCCCACCAATGATACTGGTCAGTAGTCACGCTAAAAATCACGAATTGGTAGAAGTTAGAATTCATGGGCTGACCAATGAATCGGGTCCCAGTGGCTAAATAGTATACGGGCTTCACTTGTAACCGGAAGGCCCTGTGTTCGACCCCTGGTAGTGGGTGCTTACTGCCGACGAATCCCACACTAGGATAAAATGGCTGTCCAGTACTCCAGTGCTGGCTTTCATTGGTTCTCTAACTGATATCTGTCCATGGGGGTCTAAGCTGAAACAAATACAATCCTTACAAACTAATTCTTGAAAATTCAATGTTATTTATTAATTTCCAAAGTAATTAACTTGTTTACTTAACACTGAACAACAATTGCGTATGTATGTAAAGGCAAGTAATAAAACTACAATTTCCGCTATACAACAACAATCAATGACAATAAAATGTGTGTTTGTTATTATTTTCTCTTCTCTTGAGAATTATTTATTAGTTACATCTCTGTTTTTTTTCTTTTCTATTTCTACTTACATCAGTGTAATGTATCACTTTATTGTGTTTCAGTTCTAAATTAATACACCATCGTTAACTGGGTTTGTTTCTTTTTTTAAAAAAATTTGTATAAACTAAAGAGACTTTGATGTAGAAGAATATTTTCTTTTCTAGTGAACG